GGGGCAGCAGAGGGTTCCTGCCCCTGGCAGGGCCTCTCCTCCTAACAGCTATTCCCTCTTTCCTTCTGCCTTTCTCGCTGTGGCCCTCCCGTGGTGCTGCTGCCCAGAAAGCGGATCTGGCCGTGGCTCCCCTCACCATCACCCACGTGCGGGAGAAAGCCATCGACTTCTCCAAGCCCTTCATGACGCTGGGCGTCAGCATCCTCTACCGCAAGCCCAACGGGACCAACCCCAGCGTGTTCTCCTTCCTCAACCCGCTGTCCCCCGACATCTGGATGTACATCCTGCTGGCCTACCTGGGCGTCAGCTGCGTGCTCTTCGTCATAGCCAGGTAAGGGCTGCGCTGCCGCTGCCCCGGACCTCGCTGCCCGCCGGGAGCTGCCTCCTCCTTCCTGCCGGAATTCCTGCCGCTCCATCACCCCAGGCAGGCCGGGCTGCTCGTGGGCGGCCGCGACCGCCATCCCCTGCCCTGCTCCTTCCCTGCTTGCGGAGCGCTCCGCAGAGCTGAAGCAGTTTCTCACGGCTTTTCGTGACCCGCAGAGAGCGCAAATGGCTTTTTGCTGCAGTGGGGTGGTGCCCTGCGAGTACTGAGCTAAAACGGGGCTCGTTTAGACCCTTCTGCGCTCAGGTTACACACCGGGCGTTCAATCAATGAGTCTACTCAGTTCATTGCGCCCCGAGCAAAGGCACCGCGCGGGTTTGCGGCTGGAGGCCGGACTGTGCTCCGAGCCGGGCACCGTGGGAGCAGGACAAGGAGGCCAAGGCCGAGCAGAATGCTCAAGTTTATGCATTCATCAATAAGGGGATTTCCCCACAGCGAGATTTTCCTCACAAGGCTGAGGCCGCCCGGCGCTCGCACGCGGCGGGGACGCTCCGCTCCGCGCAGGGCAGCAGCCCTGGCATGAGGATCCGTGCTCAGAGCTCGCTCTGCGCCAGCGCTGTTATTTTAAGGCCTCAGCACAACCAGCTGCCTTTTAAATGCAAACAAAGAGATTCCGAAATAGATTTTGCCAAAGGGCAGCAGGCTGCTGAGCGCACGATCCGTACGGCAGAGTGGCTGCAGAGGTGGAATAAACCCTGTAGTGGAAACTAGCGATGGGCTGCGCGCAGGGGGGTTCCTCCTTGCTGCGTCGGCCTGGCGAACAGACCGCCTCTCCCGACACGCCAGGGCCGGCACTTCCAGAAACTCAGCGCTCATTCGGCAAAAAGGGAATTTAAAAAGCGCTTTTCTTTTCATGGCTGTAGGAAGTCTGTTGCCTTGGAGGTGTCATTGGCACCTCCCTGGTGCAGTGAAGGGCCCCTCGTTTTCCTGCTCTGCAGCGTCCGTCACTGCCGGTGCTCGGGTGGGCCCTGCTGCTCCCGGCCGGACCCCGGACACGCGGCTCTCCTCGGCCTCCGCATTCCCAGCCCCAATTCTGCCCAGGTGAAGCTCCCCCCAAGCTGCCCGTGGATCACAAAGGAACCCACTGCTGTGCTCCTAACAACATGGCTGTTTACAGAAATTAACATGCATCTAATTAGCATGTTTTAAACCCCTATATTTAAAAGTAGCCAAATTTGCATACATTTGCATGCGTTATTAAGTCCATCGAGCCTTTGATGAGCTGCAGAGTCCAGGCTGCTCTGAGCATGCGGCTCGAGTCTTGCAAAGGCAGGACATGGCCCCGGCCGGGCAGCTCCCGCTCCCGCTCCCCGGCACGAGGCCTTTCCGCCGGGTGCTGCTCCGGGGCCGCCTTTTCTCTTAGAAATCCTTTGGAAAGCTGCTTCCCTGCTGTCCTCAGCACCCCCCGGGTATTCCAAGGGAACGGCAGATGTGAAGCTGCAGGACTAGAGCCCATCAAGCCTCACGTTACCACACAGCTGCAATTTCCAAGCCCGCATCCTGCGAGGCAGGAGAGCTCTGGAGAGCCCGGCCCTGGGCAGCCTGCACTTGCTGCGCTGCTTCCCAAGGAAGGGTCTGTCCCCCGGGGCCACCTTGGTGCCAGCCCCAACGCATCCTGACACCGGGCACTGTCCTTCAGGCCCTGCTGTGCCCACGGGAGGAGGTCCTGGGGCTCTCAGCATGGAGGCTGAGCCCAGGGCGGGTATCACCGTGATCCTGCCGTGCCAGGGAGGGTATCGCCGTGATCCTGAAGTGCCTTCGGTTGCTGTCTCCGAAACCAAGCGGAACGTGGCCGGATGGAATCCGCTGCCATAACGCGCTGTGGCCATAAGGCTGGAATGCCATAATGCGCCAGGCTGCTCGCACACAGCTTCCCTGCTATGGGTTTGTTTTATCCAGCTCTCGGGAGGGCCAAAGTCAGCCCAAATTACCCCGATCCTGCTTCCAAAGCACGTTCACTGCCCAGCTGGAACCCAAACACGACAGTTCCCGCAGGGAATGCAGAGGCACAAGGAAGCACCAGGATTGACCCAGGGAGCCCCAGGGCGCAGAGAGGGGCCCACAGACACGGAGCAGCCGAGGTCGGACACCGGGATCCCGGGATCTCTACGTGGGGCCGGGCTGCGCCACAGCAGGGCTGGGCGGGAGGAAGCGAAGTGCCAAGGCGAATTCCGCCTCCTTGGCTCCATCCCGGCTGCAGCGGGTGCCCTCGGAGCACGCGCAGCCGATGCCCACTCCTTCCTGCCTCAATTCTTATCCCAGCATTCGTCTCCTAGTTGTCAGCTTCTGTCATTCTTCTGTACATGCATAAAATGAGCTGTTCTGTGGCAAAATTGATGTCCTTGTTACATCACAGCAGTTAGAATGTAATATAGCTTTTTTTTTTATCAGGCTACATTTCCACTGGAAAAATTGCAATTATAGTTTCTTTTTCTTTCATTTTCTAACTATCGTCATTTGCTCCTGCCATTCCTCCTGCCTTCACACACTCCTTTAAATAACATCAATATTCAGTGTAGGCTGTGCCATAGCGATCCTTTACCCACAGAGCAAGAGATTTCCCCAGGAAAATACAGGTTACGTTCATCGCATTCAGTGTAATGGAAACAGCCCGTGAGCGTGAGCCCAGCACAGAGCTCAGACCGCAGGAACAACGCGGCCGGGACCGGCTTTCCTGGGAATACATCTCCGGGACCAGGGGGCCTGGGGCCCTGCTGAGGCTGTGGCCGTGGGTCGGTGCCGCCTGAACCAACTTAGGGAGTCTCTAGAGGCAGCCAAAGGACGTGTCTGACCCGTCTCCTCGTTAATGGGCCCTTCTTGCGTGTTGATGGGGCCTCTGCAGATGAGCAGCAGATGAGCAGGGTGTTGAAGGAACCTGCACTTTATTGGGTTGTCACCTGCCGTCCCCAGCTCCACCCTCAAATGACAACCCAGCCCCTGTGCTTGGGGCACCACAGGGCATTGGGGGGCCTCAACGGTATTTTCATCTCAACAGCACTTGGTCATCCGTAAAGGACTTATCTGGAGAGGCCCGGAAGTGCTTTGTGCTCTGCTTTATACGAACCCTTCCTTGAAACGCCCAAATGCCAACAGGGCAGATCCCCGCGGCTCCGCGTGCAGGGAGGAGGGCCGGCCCGAGCGGAGCCCCTGCATCCCGCTGCAGCGCTCCCGAGCCCTCCTGCGACGGTGCCTCCCGAGCACCGCGGCCTCGGCCTCTGCCCGCAGCTTTCCCAGGAGCTCGGGCGGCTCCGGGAGCAACTCGGGCGGCTTCGAGGGCTCCCTGGGCGGCTCCGGGAGCTCCTCAGGCAGCTCCAGGATCTCCAAAATTGGCTCCAGGAGCTCCTCGCTCACAGACCTCATCACCCTTCTGTGTGTTGCCGCCTCAGGCCAGTTGGTCTCCCCAGTTCCTCTTCCCTCCCATGTTCTGTCCCTGGCAGAGGACGTTTCCGTCTCATCCCGCGGCCTTGCCTCCTTTCAGCGGGCAGGGCTGGGCACCACCTTCCACGCAGCTCTGGCACGGGCCTGCAGCGAGCTCGCAGCAGCGGGCAGCGCACGGGGCTCGGGTCCTGCCTCCTCCGCGCTTCTCCCTTCTCATCCTTCTTCCTTTAAGAGGGGGCAGAGGCGGCAGGAGAGGCTCCGCTCTTTCCCCCAGCGCATCCGCCTGCCTGAGGACTCCCGCGATGCCGAGGGCAGGGGAGCTCCTGGAATAGCAGGAAGCCTGGCACGGAATGAGAGAACCACCTCCCAACACCAGCTGTGGGCCGTGCTTCAAGACAGGGCTGTTGTGAAGCTACGGGGACTTCAGAAGGAAGGAGAGATGATAATTAATGCCTGGTTCAAAAGCAATTATGACAATTAGGTTTTTAATTTAGTCTCTGCAAAAATTTGGATTCTTAGAAAATATAAACAAATGGCTCTAAATCCATGAGCCTCCCTCCTGCGGAGCATCCACCCCAGACCCTGCCAAACGGGCTGCGTTGGAGGCTGCACTTGCCCAGGCGCCTGGGGCAGGATTGGCACAGACGATCATAGAAAACCCCCTGGGTTTGGTCCAAGAGCTCCAGAGCTCTCCAGGAACACGAGGAGAGCAGTCCGAGCTGGTCTCCATGGGCCCTGGGAGCTGGCGCTGCGGCGGGGGGCCCTCGGCAGGAGAGGCCCCGAACGGGCAGCGCTCGCTGTGGGCAGCGCTGCAGGGCGAGTCCGCACCGGCTGCCGCGGCGCTGCTCCGGGCAGCGCTTCTGCCTCACGGCTTGGTGGAAAAATCCGCTCCTCGCTGGAGCTGAACCTCGCACGGATCCCTGTGCGCGCTGCGGAAGGAACCCCTCAACTTCTAGACCTTGGCTTAGCTGGGAGCGCAGCGTCTTTCCTTGCTCCCTAGGAAAGGCTCTGTCTTTCCCGCATCGCGGCGCGGTTGTGTCCGAGGGCTAGGGCCGGCGTTGGCCGTGCGGCCGCTGACAGGCTCTCGCTGTGCCGCAGGTTCAGCCCGTACGAGTGGTACGACGCGCACCCCTGCAACCCGGGCTCCGACGTCGTGGAGAACAACTTCACCCTGCTCAACAGCTTCTGGTTCGGCATGGGAGCGCTCATGCAGCAAGGTAGGGCCCCGGCCCTGCGCCGACCTTCCCCTGTTGCTTTTCATAGAATCACAGAATGCTCAAGGTTGGAAGGGACCTCTAGAGGTCACCTAGTCCAACCCCCTGCACACGCAGGGTCACCTAGAGCACGTGGCACAGGGCTGCGTCCAAGCGGGTTTGAAGATCTCCAGAGAAGGAGACTCCACAACCTCTCTGGGCAGCCTGTTCCAGTGCTCTGGCACCCTCACTGTTAAGAAATTTTTCCTTAAGTTCCTGTGGAACTTTTG